TTTTTTTTTTTTTGCAGTTTTTGGCCAGGGCTGGGTTTGAACCCGTCACCTCTGGTATATGGGGCTAGCGCCCCACTCCTTTGAGCCACAGGCGCTGCCCAAATTCCAAAACATTTTTATCACTCCATACCCATTATCAGTCACTCCCCACTTCCCCACCCCCAACCTCTGGCAATTACTAATCATCTATCTCTGTGGATATACATGTATTTTAGAGACAGAGTCTCACTTTGTCAGTCTTGGTAGAGTGCTATAGCATCACAGCTCACAGCAACCTCCAGCTCTTGGGCTTAGGCGATTCTCTGGACTCAGCCTCCCGAGTAGCTGGGACTACAGGCACCCACCACAACACCCGGCTATTTTTTTGTTGTTGCAGTTTGGCTGGGGCTGGGTTTGAATCTGCCACCCTCCATATATGGGACCAGCGCCGTACTCACTGAGCCACAGGTGCCGCCCTATCTCTATGGATATTAAAAATGCCAAATATTTCCTTCTCTATATCCTTTTAACTTTTGTAAAAGTAAAAATTAAGTACCTAGCACTGGGACAGGCATATAATATGTACTTAACACATTTTTTCTATGTGTGTGTAAATGGATGGGTAAGATGGACAGATGGATGGAGAGGGTGTACCTTGTAGATAGATGTCCTATAAACTTATTCATTCAGCAAGTACTTATTTGCACTTTTGCACTTGAGAAAGAAATGGGCTACAGAGAAAAATAAGATATAATTCTTGCTTTCAGGAAATTTACCATCTAGAGGGAAAGAAAGGCATGTGTACCACCTATTATAAACCCTAAGCAGAATGAAATTAGAGTTTGTATTAGAACAAGGGTTGTGGAAACTCAGAGATATTAACCTGTAGAACCTGGAGAAAGTGTTGGAGGGAGCACTTGAAGATTGGTGAACTGGGCACCTGTAGTTCCAGCTACTGGGGAGACTGAGACAGGAGGATTGCTCGAGTTGGAGGCAGCAGGGAGCTATGATTGTGTCACCCACTGCCCTCCACCCTGGGCAACAGAGCAAGATCCTGTCTCCAAAAAAAGATGGGTGAATCCTAAAAACCAAAACTTGGAGGCAGGGAGGGTATGGTGTTAGACGGGATCACTGGAGACAGCCAGGTCTTCACACCCAAGTCAGGACCTTGTCCTACGCCTCCATGGACTGTGAACAGACTTGATTATAGAGAGGCTATAAACACTGGGTTGTAGGTAACAGAGGCCAAATGAGAAAAGCAGGGGAGAGGATAAGGCAGGCCAACTCGTACCAAGGCTATGTTGTCTTCTAAGCAAGAGCACCCTGAAATGTTTGTGTCATGTCATCACAGGAGAGATCAGAATTTGTGGGCATCCTCACATTTGTTGTACTCTTTAGTGTTGTATTGAATTGCAAGAGCAGGGCTTGTCTTTTCAGTGCTTATACCTACAAAGGTGTTGTTAGGGCCTGAGTGGAAAGGCAGATGCCTGCTGAGGGGCATTTGATGGTGTGGGCTGAAGGAGAGAATTCACTTATAATCCGCCCACCCTAATCAGACCTAGTTCTTGGGGAAAGTCTCTGGAACTAAAGGAGATAACTGTGAGATTTTCTCCTGGAGACAGGTGGCTGAGGGGAGAGCAAGGTGGGGTGATCTGGGGGTGCTGATAGCAGAGACTTGCAACCAAGGCAGCAGGACCCAAAGAGATCACTGAATTCATTCTCCCCATTTTGCAGATGGAGAGACAGATCCCCAGTAAGATATCACCCGGGGTTGTTTATGGAATTAGTAGCAGAGCAGGGATCATTTCAGATCTCCACCTGAGCCAGGGCCTCCAAAAGAGAGGGGTGGAAGGAGCTCTTGCTTCCTACCCTACCTCCCACAACAGCCCACTGGCTCCTCTTAGCATCATGCTCCTTTCTCTAAGCATTCCCCAGGTCTGTGGGTGCCCACTGTAGGGATTCAGAGACTCTAGGGGACAGTCTTGCCTCAAAGGCCCCACAGAGAGGTAGGGGGAGAAGCCAGTCAAGCATGCAGAGGTAAATATCACCCTGTTAGTCTGTGCCCAGGATCCCAAAAAGGCCTCTTGAGATGGCGCTCTGAAGTGGGGCAGATTCCCTCCAGAGGAGGTAGACTGGAGTGGGCATTGGAACTCCCACCTCCACCTGAGCAATCTGGCAGAGATGGGCAGGGAGGATGCACTTCCTGTAGAGGGTATCAGGGAGGACTAGAGAACCTCCAAGAATGTAAGGTGACTGGTAGGGAGGTGGGTGAAAGGGCCAGCCCGTGAGCCACCTCCAGTACTCACTTCATTCCCTCATCAGTTGCTGGAGCCCTCAGGTAGGTTAATTGTGATCCCGAAGACTGTGTGACCCTACCAGAGCTAGAAGAGAGTGTTATGTGTGAACCTTTCCCAAGGCTCCAACACACAGCTGACCACCTCCCCTTTCCCTCATGTGACAGTGGGGTTAATATTTGCCTTCAGCCCTTCCCTGACCCCTCCCACCATCCACCCACTATAGGGGCAGCCCTGGAGAGAAGTCTGGAAATCTAGATCAGACTTTGTTGCTACCCCTCTGAGATACCTGGGTGTTTTTTGCTCCTGTGTGCCTCCCTCCATCCCTCCCTCAGAATCCCACCTTTAAGGATTGTTAAGGGCTCCAATGAGGTGACAGACATGAATGCCTCAGACTGGTTTCTGTCCTCAGGGTGAGAAAATGGCCTTCAGAAGCAGGAACAAAAGCTGGACCTCAGGGTCAGTGAGAGAAGGGGCCAGAACTCCTAGGCAGAAGCTGGCCTGGGGGTGGTCCAGAGGAGGGTGGTGGAGGTTCCACCTTGCCAGACACCCATTATCACTGGTAAGAGTCCCACTGGCCTCGCAAGATTCACACTCACGTAACCCTTGAGCCTCTCGGTGCAGCTACAGTGATGATCACAGTGTAACTAGGGGTGCCAACAATGTCCTGGGACCATGCCCTTTAGGAGCATTGCCTCATCTTCACCACATAAGGCCTCCAGAGAAGTAGGGGATTCCAGTTGCGTGGAGGACTGAGAAGGGCTGAGATGATGATCTCAGGCATTAAAGGAGGGCACCCCTGAAAACATGAATCCCAGGCACTGAGGTACTCTTAGACTGAGGCGCGATTGTCCTCCCTTCCCGAGACCCCTTTGGGCGAAATAGGAGCCGCTCTTTCCATCCAGCCCCACCTCTCTGCACCTAGGCCACGCCCACTCGAACGACCTACCGTGAGTGAATGGGTGTGGCTATGTTAATAAGGCCGCGCTTCACACGCGCTGCTCCGGCCTGGCGGCGGAGCCCAGGCAAGGGAAGGCAGCGATAGCCATGGCTGGGGCCCTGGCTGGCCTGGCCACGGGCTTGCAGGTCCCACGGATCGCCCCGAGCCCGGACTCGGACTCAGACTCCGACACAGACTCGGAGGACCCGAATCTCCGGCGCAGCGCGGGCGGGCTGCTCCGCTCTCAGGTCATCCACAGCGGTCACTTTATGGTGTCGTCGCCGCACAGCGACTCGCTGACCCGTCGGCGCGACCAGGAGGGGCCAGGGGGTCTCGCTGACTTCGGGCCACGCAGCATCGACCCCACACTCACTCGCCTCTTCGAGTGCTTGAGCCTGGCCTACAGGTGAGGGCGGCTCTGGGGCCCGACGGCCTCGGCTCTCCTTGGGACTGTGCGCTGGGGCTCCAAACCTCCTCGCTCACCCGAGCCTGGACACCTCCTTCCCCCAGCCCCGAGCGTTCTCTGACCTCGGCCCAGCCCACTGGCTTCCGACAGACCTGCGAACATTCTGTTTCCTATTCCTCACCACCATTACTTCATCCCCGGGCAGACCGCCTGCCCTCCACCCCCTCCCTAGGTCCACATCGGGCCCGTCGCTGTGGTCCTGGCTGCTCTGTACCTCCCCACCCGAAATGCCAGGCGTCCCTTGCGTTCCCGGGACCCTAGACTATCTCCACCCCTCCGCACTCTCCACTGACCCCGGGACTGCTCCACCTGACCACCTGGGCTCTCTCCTATAGCAGCCCCGGCCCCAGACCCACTCTATTCCGGCACCTTGCGCCTTTGGTTGCCCATTCTACCTCCTCCCAAGTGCCGGGACACGAATAGGTCAAGGGTGGTGGAAGGAGGGTGCCTCAGGGTGGCCCTAAGAGGCGCAGCTCGACGGGGTTCCGGGCCACGACCCGGTAGGGGGTGTTACAGGCCGCGTGGGACGGGTGCGCAGGAGGCCTGGGCTCGCCCGGCCGGGTCGCCTGTGCTAGGCTGAGTGCTCAATGCAAATTGAGACCCCTGCTTAACTTGGGCTCCTGGCTTCCGCTCCCCGCCCGCGTTTCAGAGGAGGGCGCGAACCTGAGTCCTGGCCCAATGCCCTGGAGCAAAGTTCCCCGGAGCACACCAGGATAAATTATCAACCGAAAACTGTAGGGGAGAAAGGGAGATCCGCCGTCCTTGATCTTTTCACTGAGTAAATATCCCTCTCCTTCCGCAGCCGTCTCCTCCCCTTCTGAGAACCGCTTGATAGAGACCGCCACCTGTAGCCTAAAGGGGAGCGGGAGCTGGGGTGGAGATTGCTAGGGAGTGTTGCTACCCCCAACCGCGGCCGTCAAGCTGCGACCCCATTGGCTGGAGACAGAGTAACCTTGGCCCACATGCTCTGGCCCCGGGCCCAGGTCATGTTGCAACCTGATCGTCCAGGGCTCCGGACCCATGTGGAAAGTTCAAATTCCCGTCTCTTCTGTCCCTCTCCGCCCCCGCCACATCACGAGACTGCTTGGGACAGGGCATCTAAGGTCACAGGATGCAGGCACCCCTCCTCCTGAGGGTCTTCCACCCTCTCTCAGTGTTGGCTGCCTGCTATATGCTACACACCATTCTGCTTGGGCCGGCTCACTTCCACCCCAGACCAAGGATGACCAAAAAGGGAGGTTCTGGGGAGGGGGCAATGTAAGGGGCAGAGCACACTCAAGAGCTGCACCCCTAAGAGGCTGACTGTAGGTTGATGTAACCCCAGTTAGGAACAGCTGGGGTTGAGAGGGCTGTGTTTTCTGCCCCCAAACAGCCAGAATACTAAATCTCTGGCCTGCCCTAGGTATCAGCCTAAGCACCAGGGCTGGAGGGTGTGGTAGGGGGCCACCATACCAGAGCAGCTTTTGCACTTCTCCTTTTGGTAGAGGAAAAACACAGAAGTCTCAAACTGGGACAGTGTTTTAGCCTTCAAAGACTCCCAATTATAGGGGTTCCTGGAAGGGAGAGGATTTTGGAACTGAATGTCCCAGGGGAGTGACTAGATAGGAAGGGGACAGCATGTAAAGGGTCCAGAAGGCAGTGAGAAAATGTGGCTGGCTTTTACCCTCCAGGGCAGTGTGGGCAAAGAGGGGACTTTTCTAGGAGGACGTGTTCTTTGGTTCTGTGGGTGGAAGCCCCAGGGGGCAGGTTCTGGAGGCTTGAAGAAAGCACTTGTTCCTTCTTCGCTTGTGCATGGCTAGAGCTGGCTAGAAAGAGTGGCCTCAGGGATGTGGGGAAGCAAGTACAAGTACTACCCTATTAGGGGTGCTCTAAGGGTAATTCCTGCAAGGTGAGGGTAGGGAGCTGAATTAGGAGTTCTAAGATTTTTCCCACCCCATCCCTAAGAGTCTCAGATTTTTCTGTTCATGGCAAGAAGTTCTTGAACCCTGGTCTTGGGCTTTTTGCTCCTCTAAGCTGGGCCCCTCTCCTCACAGCCCCAAATCCTTTCCTGCTGGGCTTGGATATTGTCACCTTCTCATCTCCCCCAGACCTCCCTGGGCCATAATATAACTTCAAGGGAGAAAAATAGGAGAGGAAAGGCAGGCAGGTTGGGGGTTGGATACCAGGTCATCAGAATAGACTGGGAGGTTGCTGGGATACAGGCAGAGGCAACAAACTCAGAAGTCTCCCACTCCCCCACCCAAAAGAAGCTGGCCCAGGAGGTATCAGAATCTCCTCTACCCCCACCCCATGTCTCCCTACTAGACAGATGGTGTTTATCTAACTCCAGGAGGGAAGGGACCAGCCAGTGGGCCAGAGCACTGGGCTGTGTACCCTGTTTGGGTAATGAGGCCTGTTGTCCCCTGGGTAGCAGTCTCTCAACCCCACCCCAAAGCAAACACAGGAACTTGGAGACCAGAGAGAAGAAGGGGTCCAATGACCAATGCACCCAAAGGGCTGCACAGAGAGGGGCTGAGAAGTCAGACTGCCACCCACCCACCTCTCACTGCTGGGATAAGGGAGAGCACCCAGAAACAAGGAGGCCTGGCTTTCTAAAATACTAAATCTTTGGGCCTAAGCCTTCCCATCTGAGCAAGGGGTAGGGAAGGTGGGCCAGAGGGGACTTATAACAACCCTGGTTGTAGGTGATGAGGAGGGAGAGAAGGAGAGACCAGCAGGGGTCTAAGCCCTGAATGTCTATGACCTCTCCTGAGTAAGCTTCCCAGAGGCAATCAACTTGTCCTATTATGCCTAGTAGCACCCTCCATCCTGTGAATGTGATGCATCACTAGGGTTGGGGTAGGGTGCTGGCTCCCCACTGCCTCCCACTCCCCATGCTAGCTATCTTTCTTTGAGCCCTGAGGGTTCATTGTCTTCCATGTATCCCCATGAAGGGCATATTTTCCAGCTGAGTCCACATCACCATCCTGGGATTCTGGATGGGGCAGACCCCCAAAGGGCTCTGAGGCCACCACCTGTCAAGAGGCTCCCTCTCCATCCAGGCAAACATACCCATCCCTGTGCCTCTCCTGAGCCTAAGGGGATCTGGGTGAGTCCCTGCTGTGTGACCCTGGGCAGGTCTCTTTCTCTTCCTGACCCTCAAGAAGGTCATTTCTTACTCTCCTTAAGTGAGAAATAGCTCTGAGAACTCTCCCCAACTAGCCCACAGGACATGCTTGTGAGGCCGCTGGATGCTGCTGTTCATAGGATGGAGCTGATAAACAGGTTCTAGCCTCCTTCAACTCTAGTAGTAGATTAACAAGCAGGTCTCTCCAGAGAACACAGGGCCCCGGGAGGGGGCTGGAAGGGTATTTTAAAGATCTGACTCTCAGGGTAGGAATTTTAGGCAGGTACGATTAAGGGGCCAGATTTGAGGGGTCCCTCAAATTCCAACCATAGTGGAACGCCTAGTGCATGAGAAGAATGTAGAATCCCCCCTCCCCTCCCCTTCCACTTATTCTACCCCTGTGCTAATCCAGCCCTCTCTCCCTGACAGTGGCAAGCTGGTCTCACCCAAGTGGAAGAATTTCAAAGGCCTCAAGCTGCTCTGCCGAGACAAGATCCGCCTCAACAACGCCATCTGGAGGGCCTGGTATATCCAGTGTGAGTGGGCACCACAGGCCTCTCCAGCCAGGAGGTGCCTTCCCCAGCCAGAGGGCTCTGCCCAGGAAAACCCTGGGGACCCTTAGGGCCAGCACCAGCAGAGTGCTTCTAGTCTTTTGGGAGATCAGACCCCAACCCCAATACCAGATTCTGATCCCCAGAGGGTTTGGGGAATATGTCCCAAGGGTCCTTCTTTCTACTGGGCAAAGCAAAGGCTACCTTCAGAAGCACTAAGGTAGACTGAGATTTAGGGGACAGTTCAAATCCCATTCTGCATCCATTTGTGTAGCCAGATGCCTCAAATGACAGAATAAAAGGGGGCATTAGACACCATCAGGGCCAGGTGCATCGCTTGGTAAATGGAGAAACTGAGGACCCTACATGAGTCTCCACCAGCCTTTCATTCAAGTCCTTCCTGAATACCCAGCAGGTGCCCACTGTGGCCAGAGAAGCTGTGAAGTATAGTGGAAGAGACTCTAGACTTAGGGTTACCCAGAATTGGTTTCCTACCCTATCTCTGCCCCTTTCTGGCTAAGTGACTTCAGCCTAGGTGCCTAAGTTCTCTGAACTTGTATCCTTATCTATAAAATAAGCCAATAGCCTGACACAGTGGCTCATGCCTATAATCCTAGCACTCTGGGAGGCCAAGGAAGGCAGATGGATTGAGCTCGTGATTTCAAGAGTGAGACTCTGTCTCTAAAAATAGCCAGGTGTTATGGCAGGCACCTATAGTCACAGCTACTCGAGAGGCTGAGACAAGGGATCCCTCGAACCCAAGAGTTTGAGGTTACTGTAAGCTATGATGCATGGCACTCTATCAACAAAATGAGATTCTGTCTCAAAAAAAAAAAAAAAGCCAATAGTCCTACTTTTCATGTTTGGTAGGGGGACAACAGGTATGAAAGGGCCTGGCATTAAATTGGCGTTCAATAAATGATGTACCCTTAAGGAGGTCACAGTCATTCAAAGATACCCCTATTCCTGGCCTCCACCTGCTGTGGCAGGGCAGTAGAAGCTGAGAGGACTTGGGCCTGTCAGCCCTTTGTAGAGACCTTGTACAGCCCAGTGAAGTCCTGCTACAGGATCAAAGGCTGCCCTGGGTTAGGCATAGTGGCTCATGCCTGTAGTCCCAGCACTTTGGGGGGCCAAAGAGGGAGGATTGCTTGAGGCCAGGAGTTTGAAACCAGTCTGGGCAACACAGCACGACTCCATCTCTACCAAAATAAAATAAAATAAAATTAGCTAGGAGTAGTGGTACCTACCTCTAGTGCCAGCTACTTGAGAGGCTAGGGCAGGAGAACTGATTGAGTCTAGGAGTTGATGGCTGCAGTGAACTATGATCACACCACTGCACTGGGTGACAGAGTGAAACCCTGTCTCAAAACTTTAATTTCTTTTTTTGAGACAGAGTCTCACTCTACCCTGGGGTTGAGTGCCATGGCATCATCATAGCTTACAACAACCTCAAACTCTTCCTTTTTTTTTTTTTTTTTTTTTTTTGCAGTTTTTGGCCAGGGCTGGGTTTGAACCCGCCACCTCCGGCATATGTGGCCAGCACCCTACTCCTTTGAGCCACAGGCACCACCCATCAAACTCTTATGTATAAGTGATCTTCATGCCTCAGCCTCCCAAGTAGCTGGGACTACAGGTGCCCACCACAACGCCTGCCTAGTTTTTATATTTTTAGTAGAGATGGAGTCTCGCTCTTGCTTAGGTTGGTCTGGAATTCCTGAGCTCAAGGTATCACCTGCCTCATCCTCCCAGAGTGCTAAGATCACAGGCATGAGCCACCACATGAGGCCACACCTGTCTCAAAACTTTAAAACAAAAAGGCTATGCTGAGCTGGGAGCACAACCTAGGAGGGACCACATGCAGTAGTCTCTGTGCGGGCCACACTGGATTCCATCCAAGTAAGGAGGGGGAGTGTTTTCTGGTTTCCATTCATCTACATACAGACACTTGAATAAATCATCTTATTTAAGGCTCCTAGCTACCCTGGGAGATAGGTATTAATATCCCCCCAAAATCTGAGGCTCAGAAGATGAGTAACTTGTTCTGTTTCACAGAGCATAAAAAAGAGCAGAGCTAGTGTAACTGGAAGTCTGGGGCTGTCCAACTCTGCTCCTTTTCTGCTCCCACTGGCTTCCAGTCCTAGTCCTCTCTCGAGAACAGGCAGGTTATCCAACAGGGCAGTGGCTGAGGTTTTCAGGGAAGTGGAAGGTACATGCTTTTTGGATGCCCTCTCTGGGTCTCTGCCGTTTACTTTCTTTCTTTCTTTCTTTCTTTCTGACAAAAATGCCATTCAGAATCTGCCATTTCTGAGAACTTGCGTGACAGGCCCTAGCCCAAAACTGGGAAGCTGGTAAGCCAGGAGTAATCAGTGTCTCCCCTCCCCCAAGATTTCCCACTTCCACCTTCCTCCCACAGCTGGATGGGACACAAATCCTTCACTCTGCAGAAGGAATTTCTGATAACGTTGGAGGCCTGATGCTCTTCTCTCAGACATACTGGTCTCCAGCTATTGCACAAATTGCTCAGAGGACCCCAGGTTCTGAGTCAGACAGCTGGGTTTGAGTCAAAGCCCTACCATACCCCAATTGTGTGGCCTTGGGGGAAGTAGGCCTTCAGCCTCCCAGAGCCAAATCTTGCTCAGCTGTAAAATGGGAACAATGATAGGTCTTGTTTCTGAGGTTCACTGTGAGCTTTCAGTGGGATCAACTATATGTTAGCGCAGAGCCTGGTGCGCAGAAGGGCCCCCTGAAGGTGAACGGCTGGGTGGATTGTTAGTGTGAAAGTTGCAGCAGTGCATGGCTGGTATATAACAAATGTCAGGCCGTCCCCTTCCTACACACCAAAGATTTAAAGGTGGGCTGCAGCAGAGGGAAAGGACTTCAGGCTCATCCCCTTCACATGGTTTCTCACCTTTGGCTCAGCCAGGAAGGGCTCTGCCATCTCTCTGCAGGCTCCTGGTCTCCCAGATCCTTCTTTTCCTGACCCACATCTCACTGTCCCACACTCCAAAATCCTCTTGGTTTCCTCCAAGCTTCCAGGGTACTTTGCACCTCTCATGGGCAAGAAGGACTTTCCACTTTGCATTATCTCTGTTGTTTGTTTGCTTTCCTTATCTCTCCCCTGAAGCTGTGAGCACCCCGATTTATCCATGTATTCCCTGTCCAAAAGGTTGTAAGGCTGAGCTGAATGAATAGACAAACTTATCAGTGTTAAACAAAGCCTAGCCCAGAAGGCCACATTGTCATAGTCTTCCTGTCCAGGGCACTGGGCCACTCATCACTGGCTCTCTGGAGGCCCTACACAAACTTATTCTTTCCTAGTGCCCATTTCCTTACCTGGGAAGCCAGGGGGAGATACTCTTGGAGACCCTTCTTGCTTCTCTAGGCCCCTGGGAGTCTATAAACCTATGGGCCTGTCTCTTTGTTTTCTTTTCTTTTCTTTCATTTTTTTCTTTCTTTCTTTTTTTTTTTTTTTTTTGAGACAGAGTCTTACTATGTCGTCCT